ATGTCAAGTGTAATTGAAAAATAAATTTAAAAAATGAGCCTTAACCATCTTACATCATATACAAATATTATCTCAAAATATATTTTAGATGTAAATATAAAAAGTATATTTCTAGAAGAAACAGAAGAAAACCTATGCACCTTGGTATTTGCCAAGATTTATTAGATACAACAAAGACGTGCAAATTATAAAAGGAAACTGATAAGCTGGACTTAAAATATTTTAAACCTACTCTTAAAAAGAATTCATTACGTAAATAAAAAGGCAAGCCAATGATTAGAAAAAAATTCAAAAATATACAAAGGAACATCTAGAGTAATAAAAAAAATTCTTAAAACTGAACAAGAACCCTAATAAAAATATGGGCAACAGATTTGGATACTTTATAAAGGAAGATATATTGATGATCATATATACGATACAGAATGGAAAGCTGCTCAACATCATTAGTCACGAAGGAAATGCAAACTAAACCTACATGATAACTGCACACATCTATTAACAATACCATGTGCTAAGAAAGATGTAGAGCAACTGGAACTCTCATACAATGCAAATGCAAATATAAAGTGATACCATCAGTTTGGAAAACAGTTTGTTAATTTCTCACAAAGCTGAGAACAATTACCACAGCGGTTCTCAACCTGTGGGTCACGACCCCTTTGGTGGTCAAATGATCCTTTCACATGGGTCGCCTAAGACCATCCTGCATATCAGATATTTACATTACGATTCATAACAATAGCAACATTACAGTTATGAAGTAGCAACGAAAATAATTTTATGGTTGGGTCACAACATGAGGAACTGTATTTAAAGGGCCAGAAGGTTGAGAACCACCAAATTACCATATGATCCAGTAATGCAACTTCTATTTATCCAAGAAAAGTAAAAACATATATGCACACAAGGACTTACATGCTATGTTCACAGCAATTTTATTCATAATGGTCCAAAAAAGAAAGAACCTGCCCCCTCAAAAGTCATATGTAGAAAGCTAACCCCAATGTAACTGTATTTAGAGATAGGGCCTTTAAGGGGGCAATGAGGGTTAAATGAAGTCATAAGGAGGGGGTCCTAACCTTATCTAATAAAAGAGAAACATGCAAATTGACGACACCTCCACTACATTCACCAGCCACGCCCACCAGCCAATCAGAGCAACTATATGTAAATTAACCCAACCAAGATGGCAGCCGGCAGCCACGGAGCTGGAGCAAGCAGGAGGCTTGGTTGCCCCAGCGATGGAGGAAGCCAAGCTTCCTGCCTGCCCTGGCTGGCTGTGGCGTCTGCTCAAAGCAACAAAAGTTTCAATTATAGAAGATAAATAAATCCCAGATACCTGCTTCCAGCCAGCCTCGACTGGGAGCTTGGGTGGCTGGGAGGCCGTGGCCTGCCTGCAAACAGCCATCAGCCCCACACCCAGGATGGCCAGGCACCCCAGCAGGACCCCTCACCCTGAAGGGGGTGTGGCCAGCCTGAAAACAGCCTTCAGCCCCTCACTCAAGCTGCCCAGGCACCCCAGGGGG